TGAATGTTGCAAGGACGTATTCAATGTGGCGTTTATGGAATCCTCATCCACTTATCTATGGAGAGACAGCTACAATAAATCGTATTACGGCCCTGTTTATCGAGCAGTGGAAACATTCCCGCATGTGACTGGAATCCTCTTGCACCACGTGCCCGCGACGTACGCATCTGTGGGCACACTGCTCCAAAACGGAACGGTGGACTTCTGCATGACCCCGTTGTACTTGACGCCGCAAAGAAACCCCTTCACCCGCAGCACTGTGCCGGTGATCCAAGCGCCTTACTGCATGGTGATCCGCCGCGCGCCACTCTACCCGTACGGAAGAGTGCTTTTGGTGCCGTACGAGCCCCTGACCTGGGCCGCCTTCCTAGGGGCACTGACGGTGGCTGTGCTGGCGATGCATGTGGTGCACCTACTAGGCCGCCTGGAGAAGCCGTGGGCGCCAGGAGACGTGACGGTGGAACGCGCACTACTCGACGTGGTCCAGGTACGCAGCTGCACAGCCTCTAGAACCAGGAGGTCTCTGGCCGGCTGAGTGAGCTCACAGCCAACATTGCCATCGCCTGCGCAGCGTCTCAGTCCGGGAGGTCCTAGTGCTTGAATCCCTACGGCGGCGGACCTTCGACACAAGCTACATAGCTAAGTCGAATTCAACCGATTCAATTCACTTGAGAATTCTAGCGGCCGCCTGCTCTGATCGGTAGTTTTCCCTGTTTTTTTTATCAAGCCAGGCGATTACCGGAGCGATTCCCTAACAATCGGGCCACGAATTGAGCGCGATATTTCCTTCTTCTTCCTCATCCTAACTTATCCCCTTACTGAGAACCTTACACTTACGTGCATCACACTATCACACTTACCGGAATACCATTCGGGAGTTCAGAGATTCTATTGGGTCGGCCAGTGCCCCGCTGGGGACTTATCTGCAACCCCCGCGAGCCGATATTTTGGTCGGCACCGGATCTCTCCGTCCAGTGTGGGCGGAACATCGCCACCTCCTACGATACAACATTAATTACACTAACGGAATTAATGACCATTGCAGTTGACATGCGCGGAAACAATTAATCAGTGAAACGAGGACTCTGACCCCAGGCTATATTTGCAAAGATCATATCCCGGATCCTTTAGAAGTTTTTGATAAATATATGTGCACCAAGTATCCAGAGATTTTACCTGGGAATTTTCAAAGTGTCGGGAAATTGTGGCCCATTAATAATGGATTCTTGTGTGGTGGTAGTAATAGTGGGGGTGAAAAAAATTCTGTATCTTCAATCATTTCCCACCAGAGACACATTTGCACAACGTTAAATCACAAAAATGCACAGGCCATTCTACAATAGCATTTCGACCTACTCATTCTCATACATTTTACTCAAAAACGCTTGAGTAACAACTCCATATAGAAGCGTACCCCCTTGCTGCTAAACAATACGATGTCCTAATTAAATGAAATTGTTTTCGAGATCAATTAACATCTGCAGCATCTCTTAGATATGATTAATAACACGTGAATCGATGCAATGATATAAGTTTTACTCCAGCCAAGAAATGCTTTCCCAAAAAATGAAACCACGAATATTTGGCTTCTTTTCAAAATTTTCATGAGGATTTATATCAGGTATGTATTACACAATTATGAGGATTAACAAGGTAGTATCAAGTTTTTTCCTAGACAGTCAATTTCGTTTTAACTTAGGAATAATTGTCCTAAAGTTATTATTGGCAGTCGATTTATTATGTTAAAGTTTATGTACATGAATCAGCAATGGACATTGTCAATTGTTAATTCACATCGATACATATTAAAAATAAATGAACTGTCAATACGAACTCCCAGATTATTCTGCAGAAGATTAACAATGTGGTTAAATTTCAACTTAAATTCACATGTTAGATATTTATTGTTTCAGCATGTTGGTTCATGCAACCTGCAGGTAGAACACTACAATTTACATATTACAATTAGGAATATTAATAAATTGTAACAAGAAAGTATTTTAAGACATTAAAATAATAATAATAATAATAATAATAATAATAATAATAATAATAATAATAGGACAACAATAAAGGCAATAACAGCATTAACTCTACATTTTATGTCTGTCTTGCATAAATATTTTCAACAAATAAATACACGACATTTTAATTACACTGCACTCAATTCGCTTCACAACACATCACACTTCAATACAAATGCTGCTTTGAATATATTTATGTATTTACATTGCATTGCATTTTATAGTAATTATCACAATACTATTAGTAACAATCACAACAACAATAATACAATAACTGTTTTAATTACCCTAACTTACTAATTAATAAAGTTTACAAATATCACTAGTTAACTTACTTTTCAATCTTTGAACACCTAAAGGAAAGGGTTCCAAGGCCGTCGCAGGCAACTTATTCCAGTCCTCTATTGTTCTATTTGTGAAGGAAAATTTTCCAACATCTGATCTCTGTGGTCTGAACTGAATTTCGTGCTTGTGATTCCCTCTACAAAGGTACGTGGTAGTCGGATGTAGAAGTCTCTCCAAGCTGGATAACTGGCATACTCTTTGTAGAGGGGCTCAGAGTCTTGCCTTAACCCTTAAACTATGTTGTTAATACACTTTCAACGGTTTGTACTTGCGTCATGCAAGTTGACATAGAACTCGCAAACCTTTTTATTCTATTGCATCCCTTTTCATACAGACCATAAACCAAGCATGGACTACACTACAGTTAAATTAAATTTCATTTAACATTCTCTGTACGATCCGCTGTTTTATTTACAGTTATCTTCCTCCATTTCTTGACGGATTGTTTGGAAGATTTACAAATGTTTAAGGTACCAAATGTCTGTTTAGTAGCTTAACTGGGTGTATTCTCAACATTCCCGTTTCTTTTTAAATTGTGCATGTTCCACACCTGTTTATGTACCCACGAAGGCTCAGAAAACCTACATGAAAACCTATCTTCACTAAAGTTATAATTTTATAGTTTGCACACAATTGAAGCATGAACTGCTTTTCTCATTTCTGTACTTCTGCGGCATTACTATTTTTTTCACATAACATAACCGAACACTGGACACACAACAGAGAAATGATCACAACTAACATCGCATCACAACAATAAGAATCAACTTTTTGACAAAAAATAATTCCATTGTTACCAACCCCCATCACCCGAGCGTTATTTAAAAAAACTGTTATTACATCTTATTAAAATCTAAAATATGTTATTTTTCGGAACAAATAACTTTGTGTCATTCATATTATTTAACAAACATTCGTGTTATTATTTAAGAAACGCAAATACCGCGCCTTCTTAATAAATGAAATGGAAAGCAAACAATTTCTTTGAGTAGATCATCCATCAAGGTCGATAAATTAAAATTATTTTCATAATTTCGAAACTATGTTCGGTTTTTCTAGCTCGGGATTTGGGTACGAACAATCAGTATACCAAAATATTTTAAGTATTCATCACCCATATCATTGAAATATTTGAGGAAGTCATCACCCATATTTAGTTCTCTTCGTATGAAACATCAAATTTCGATAAACAAGTTTTCTTTCAGAGTATTTTACAAGGCAAAATTAAAAGATGAATAATGGAATTCTAACCATTATCTGGTCCCTTAGCAATGTGCATTTACTGTAGTCTACAAAAGTCCAAAAGTCAAAACAAAATAGAAGCTTCTACAAAGTAAAAAAAGTAATTAAATGCTTCAAGCTAATTTCCTATATTTAAAGAAACACAGTTCATTAGTCTAGTTTATTTGCGTAATTCATTTTTCACAATTTCCAAGAAAGCACTAACAGGTTTTGTACAATTAATAAAAGCTTATTAGTATTATTATTAGTCACTAAAACAGGAATTTTCTTGGGTGGGCTGCTAAAGATTTGTTTCCTTACGAAGAAAATGTAATTTTTGCTGAATATGTTTATTTATTGACTTATAGTTCTCTATAACATACTCAATTGGGATATTGGCAGGCATTATTGACTAAAGAAAATGCATTAAAACTATTTGTCAATATGTTTCATCGGCTTCGGGGAGGCTGATGCTGATGCCTCCTTCCCCAGTCTTAATTGTGTCACGGTTATTAATGAACATATTAATACAAAACAGTTTGTAGAGAATTAACTAGCATTAAATAGAGTTAGTTTTATCAAACTTTCAATTACAAAAAAATAACTCTTCATTGCAAGAAAAGGTTGTTTTTTTTGTTTCCGTAATGTTGTTTGTCACATTATTATAAGTTATCTCAGAGTAAGTACAAAAAAATACTTTAATGAGATTGAATGCAACTGATTTCTCTGCAACAAATGGATTGAAATGAATTCTTCTGCGTTTCCTTATAAACTCAAAGATATTTTAAAATAACCTGAAAATAGAAATCAGGGCAGGCGAAAAATTTATTTGGTAGATAATGATTTCCTTGGGAAATTACTTTACTCGAAAGACATCCAAAAATTCCAGGAAATCGTTTCGAATTTACATAAAATTGGGAAGAATTTTCAATTCTTCCACCCGTTTTTTAGCTTATTTGATTATTCTCGTCAAAGTTTGTAGTGGATTCTACCATTTAAGTGAAATTTAAGTGAATCGTTTGGCGCAGCCCGAAATTTCGAATAAATCATGTCGTATAGTGCTCGGGTTCCGAAATCTTGACCATAGGTCCCCACCAGTATTAGACTGTATCTTTAGACATTTTCGAACTTGTCACTACATGAGTTCCCAGTATTACCGACGTTTTTTTCTCCTGAATTACTCCTCAGAGTGTGGTACAAATGTCTGTCATATCAGTTTTTTGTCGTTCACTGCCTTTTTGAGTATGCGTTTGCACGGGAATTGCCGTAAGATTTACCAAGGGTTTTCCCACAAATATTAGGCGTGTCATGACTTGCTGAGGATTTTCCGCCGCCAAAACCCGCCCCGCACCGGTTTCCAACCCACGCACTGCGGAGCTTCGAATGAACGTTGTTCTGATCGTCCGCCAGGTGACGCTGACGGGAGGCTGTCGGCGCCCCGCGCAATCTCTGGCGCAGCGCATCGCCCTAGGCGCTCTTCTGCTGTTTGCCCTGGTGGTGAACAACGCGTACTCGGGCCAGCTGCTGGGCCTGCTGGCCAATCCTCCCCGCCACCAGGACCCGGCCAGGCTCGCGGACGCAGCTCGCTCGCTGCGCAGCGTCTACATGACCAACGACTTGAAGGCCGCCGTCTCCGACGCCAACAAGGACGGCTCCCTCAATGAACTCTTGCTGAAAATGAGGCCCAAAACGTTCGGGATCAACGTAAAGAAACTCGAAAACATGACGCAATACGGCGATGAGGGCATTTTCGACAATACGGATGACTTCAAAATGTACGCGTATTTGGTGGAGCTCACGGATCATGGACAAACGGAGCTTACCCAGGTTTCCGAATGCTTTTTTCGCCCTGGGTATCAGGGATTTCTCGTGAGGAGGAACAGTTCAGCGTTTGATGTTCTCAGTACGTTTGCCCTTAGGATTGTGCAAGCTGGAATGTACGACCATTGGAAAGTGAAACAGCGTCATCACATGGATGCAGACGGAGTCACTGTTCCTGCGGGTGTTATGTGGAGAAGGCCCAAACCGCTGAGTTTAAGTACACTTGCTGGCCCTTTCAAACTGCTGGCGATTGTGTGGGTCATCGCAGCTCTTTTGTGCGGAACTGAAGTGATTTTGCGCATGCTGCAGATGAAGAAACGTTTCTGGGGTTGGAAAAATGTAGATCAGCGATCAAAGAAAGTCCAATGGAATAATGCCCGACTTGTGTGGTAGATGATCACAAACTATTAGGAATTTAAGTTACAATCAATGTAAAATTTATTAATCAAATAGAGCAATTTTACTTATTAAAATTATGATTAAAAAGGAAAGTTCAAATTTTTACACAAATTTCTCTTTACTATTGTATAGAGATTTCTTAATACGAGTAAAATTATAATGTTCTTCCAAGAAGTCAATAGATCAGGATTGATCGTACATTTTCAAGTAAAGATGTTACTACTTTTATACGCATCATATTTGTCACAATACTTACTTGGAATTGCTGAACTAATTACATTTCTTCTATTTCTATTTAATAAAGATATAATATTGTTGGGCGTGTGGTTAAATTACGAAATACATAATATTTGCCTGGTCATTAAATAGTTTGCTTAAAACAAATTGTGACGTAGTTGTAAGTTTTTGCTCCTTTATGATTTTTTTAGCACTGTTTACGAATCTGAAGTGTCTAAAAACATTTGTTGGAATTCCGGTCAAAAAAAATATTGGCTTCATCTAAAAAACTATATAATGTTACATTAACGTTTTTCAAACTGATCTGCTGTTCACGCCTAATCGGTTAAGGAAAAAATGTGTAACAAAATTAGAATATTATTTTGGTTCAAAATATTACTTTGTCAAAATTCAATAGTTTTTAGATCTAGGCACAAAATCTGAAAAACGTAATTGTTTGTATATGTTTGCATTTAATTATTTTACGCAGCTTTAAATCAATTAGGTTATCAGCAAGTTTAAAACAGGTTATGCATAATGTTGTATACTTCAGCCCAATTCATAGATTCTGAGTAAAGTTATCATTTTCGTACATCCTTCAACTGTTCTAAACATCTGATACAAGTCTTTATTCATATTTAAATGGTGTATTTTATTTGCTAGTCCTTAGCATTCTAGAAGGAGATGTGTATTTGATATAACATTTCCACACATTGGACACGGTTTAGGATATGTTTTTACGTCATGAGATGACCGTGGCTAAGGTTGAAGTGTGAACTTAACAAAAAAAAACAACACAGAGGAGCTAAAAATCAGAACTGCGTCATAATTTTTTATAGAAAGTCTCTTTTATGTGGAGACTATTATATCTCCACATTCTTACTGTTTCTAAGTACTTATATTTTTTTTAATCACACAGTTCTAAATTGAATATCAATAAAGCAAATAAATAGCTTACTTTAATACAACCCGATGAACAATTTTCGAAAATAAATCTACTGAAAACTCCTGTAAACAGACAATTATATTGTACATTTTGAGAGTCATCATTTTTGTAAAATAAATATAAAATACAAATATTAAATATAAATAAACAAATTACTCAACCATTAGAAGATCACAAATATCTCCCGCACTCTTATATCATTTTGTATTATTGATTTAAAAACTCTTAGATTTTCCTCTTAACAAGATATGTACATTAGAGAAAAACATGAATAGCACATGGTCCTTCAATCGAACAGAGAGAAGTTTCAATGCGGCTAACAGATGTGAGCAAACACATCTGTTATTGAGATCGTCTAATATCAAACATACGCGACTAAGACCCACGTAACCGTTACGCTATTCAACAGAGGTCTTCGCTGATTTAGCGCCTACGCACTTGAGGCTCTCTTATCCGATTGCGATGATACAGATCCGCCCGCGTGCGCAGTGCTTTGTTCCAAAGAGGCTCACGAGCGCTGCCACCGTCTTACGCTGTCGCGCCCACGGGGATCAGCTCGCGGCAGCTGACGGCCCGTCAATACGTCCGCCCACCAACACTTCGTCCCACTCGACTCGCCCCCTGACAGGTCCGGACACGCCCGCTCAGCTTCCTAATCCTTCCAAATACGTAAATTCGACTGGTTGTTCCTCTGGACTGGAAGTGTTAGAACATGATATTTAATTTCCTCTAAATACGAGATGCGCAATAAGTATATAAGTAGTTATTGATTTGTATTCCGCACAAATGGGTGGCGAATTTACTGCATTTCTTTTATTTTTAAAGGCATTAAACCGGTAAACAGCAAATAAACATATAGACCGTTATTTTTGATCGACTGTGCGTCGTTCTACACTTTTAGTACACACTAATATATAAACTATAATTATTCTCAAAATTATTGAGTTACTTTTATTCTGATTTAGTTTGTACAACGCCTTGTTTTTTTTAATAAACAGTTAATTTTGCACAGATAGTTGGTTGTTTATATACCAAGGATCGCTAAATATGTTAAAACCTGTTGCTAAGAATGTTACATTTTTATCATACAGGTAACTACAAGTGCACTTAACAAACCTTTCAGATTTCTTGGTAACAAGAGTAACAGACACATGAGACACATGTGACCAAAACACCGATGGCTATTAAGAGTGGCTTTCCATTCCCCTGTTAGGTTGCGTTAAGTCAACATAATATACCGAACTTACAGGTTACATTAAAACATGTATAACTATCTGTGCAAAAAATAAAGCATTGTACTACGTTAGGTTTTAATTATTTAATGGTAGAATGTGAATAAAGTAATTAAATTGTTCGTTTTTTGATATGTTTGCATGGTTGATAAGAAACTTTTATTTTTTATTACAAAAACAGTTGCCATAATTTCTACAAAATATCTTTATACTTCAAATCCATTACAAATTATTAAAAATTAAGAATAAAAGGAAAAGATATTAGAAGTAATGTGTAAACTACACTAATAAGAGAGAAAATAAAAAGTGTGAAATTAGAAGAAACGGATTTTTTCTACAATTTCGTGAAAGCGACAACGAAAATGATGTAATACATTAGACGACTTAATTTGTAAAATATGCTGAAAAAGAATACGTTGCCTCTGCTATGTTTATTTTTATGTATTAGGAAAATTTTGAATATTACGTCGAAAAAGACTACAGTTAAGATGTGAATACCTGAGACACAACATTTACATCACATTTAATGTTCTAATGACAAAGTGAAGTAATTTGTAAAGCCATTTGGTTCGTTCATGATTTATATTAATTTGTCCTAGCAGTCATTTACGTAAAGTGCCACTCATTTTGTTCGAAAATCCACAAATAAAATTTCCTAAAATGTCGGTGGTGACCCAAGTGTGCTAAAAATAATGTGTACCTTCAATCTTGGAACATCTTTATTTTTGTAAGCTTCAATATTAACTCATCAGCTGTAATTCTTCAGTTAGCAATAGTTCACGTGAACACAAGAATTTTGTGCCCAATCGGAAAATACGTTGAGATCCTCTATTGCTGTTCCTATGTCTCGGTTTATGGAGTAGATTTCTGTGTCATCTGCAAAAGTGGCAGTGGATGTAAATGGGTTGGTGGGTACATTTGCTATGTAGATATTAAATAGGGTTGGGGAGAGACTCGAACCCTATGGAACTCCTGATTAGATGGGATATGGTGTAGAGAGTATACCGGGAAGTCGCACTGAAAAAGAACGTTCACTAAGGAAACCTATTATGCGTGAAATATACTGCAAAGTGACAATGTTCCGGAGTTTGAATATCAATCCTGGGGGCCGTACTGTATTAAAAGCTTCTGCGATGTCAAGATACATTCCTACTCTATGCTTATGGTCAAGGAAACCTTCGATAATGTCCTCTGTCAAACGTAAAATTTGGTGGTGTGTAGAAAGCTGAGATGGGAAGACAAATTGCTGAGGTGTTATTATATATACTGAGATGAGATTAGTATTAAGTGTGTTGAAGATGCATTTTTCGAGTAATTTTCTCATCGCGGATAACAGAAGGATTGCACGGTAGCTTGCTGGGTCGTCATTTGGTTTTCCTGGCTTCGGGATGAGAATGGTATGTGCATATTTTCGTTTATGGGGGGAGTATGACATTTTAAGGATATTGCTGTAATGTGTACAATGACGTTTAGAGGAAGTCCTTTGAGTAAGTACGCTGAGGGTTGGTCGATACCTTTTGTTACTTTGGGGGCTGACGGAGAAATATTTTCAATGATTTGAAATATATTCAATGAGAAATGAATTTTAGGCATTCTGGTACTGTTATTATTGGTCTTAAGATTTCTTCTGTTATGAAATTGTCATCTTTAGGGTTGTTGGTGAGGTGGTGTGTGAATGATGCCGCAAAGTATTTCCCTAACACATCGCATTTTACTGATGGTGAACATGCTCTACCTGATAAAGTGGTGAGAGGAGATATATTTATAGGCTTATTCAAAATACGCCGAGTTATGTTCCATGAGGAGTGGTTTGTTGCTTGCTGTTTGTGTTTGGAAGTGTAACTTTTGAGCATGGATGATGGCTAAGAGTTTGCTCATAATATTGGTGAGTAGGTTCAGGTACGATTATAGAAATGGAGATAGGTGTTTCTGCCAGTGATTTTTTGTATGTCGTTTGTTATAGATGAATTTTTGTAGAGTGGGCGGTATGGGTGCGAGTGGGGAGTAGGGTCTTGTAGAGGGGGCGGTTAAATCTAATGTATCTAACATGGTGTAAGTATATTGATTGCTTAATGTATATTTTGTGTGGATTTGAGTGATGGTAGTGGTGGTAGTAGTTATGTGACAAGGAGTTGATAATATGGCAAATTTACCTTTTGTAGATTATAATGATGGGTGGGACGAATTTCGCGAGGTGATGCTTCGAGGGAAAATATGATAGGGCGATGGGCACACTTTATCACATCGTTTGTACAGTCAGTTGTGAGATGTAGGCCTGCAAACGTGCCGCAGCGTGTGAGATAACCGCAGTTTTTTTTAGTGTGCTTGTAAGCTTCGACGGCACTGTATTGGTTCTGGTCTATGACGTCTTTCTTCGGAGATTATTGTCTTAAAGAGGTTTCTCAGTTTGTAGATTTCCATTCCTGCATTGATTTTTGAAAGAGTAACTGCGTACAGGGGCTACGACTTCTGGTTTGAGACTGTCAGTCTTGTTACAGGATTTTGGTGACGAAGTCTTTCCATCTTCTGTGTATATTTCTTATTACTATTGAAATAGCTGATTTTCTTGGATCTGGATACGTATGGTTATATAGTTTTGTTGATAGGGATTTTTGTAATGTGGAGTAATCATCTATTGTGTTGACCCTAACTTCTGTATACTGTCCTCTGACTCTTGTCTTGAAATTTGAATGTTTGAGAAGATGTTTTATTTTTTCTATTTGTTCTGTATGCACTGGTGAATCGTGGATACGTATTCTGGGTATTTTTAATTCTTCTGATTGGGATATATTACTTAAGAAAAACAGTTTCGGTTGTATCGGGATTAGATGCAAGGTGTGAATATCTCGTTGCCTGTTGGAATGTTATAAGTTGGCAATTTGTCGGTAGAAGGAAGCTGGTTCTTTTGAGATAGGGGACATGCAAAAGACATATCTTGGTGGTACATTCTTGGCTTCTTTAGCGAATACACATGCATGCTACGTATCTACGTTGTTGGTTGTGAATCTCCCATTTGCGGTGAAGAGTGCTGGGCGATATCTTGGTAGACTGGCTGGCTGGATGTATACAGCTGTTGTCGGTGGGTCTCCGGAAAATGTAGATGATGCGGTATAATAGTTGTTATGCGACTCCAAGGCTGATGACACCGCTTCTGGTAAAGAAGGGAACACGGCGTTTGTTGATCCGGCGTTGAATTTACGCTACGCTTGTACGAGTCACTCACTTCTACTGTATATATTTGGCACTGTGC